ACCGCAACTTAGAAGCGATAGAAGAGCTTAATCCAAGCGCAAATACTCCGGCGAACTCCAGAATTGTTCGCACAGAATCTCCAACCACTAAAAAGATAAACTCATTTGAGAATGAGTATGCTAACACGCCGCAAGCCTGCAAATTGTGCTCTAGGAAAAATCACCCTATCCGCCTGTGCCCACGATTTCTCCAAAATCCCCGTCAGCGAACGGGTAACTTACACAATTGAGCCCTGCGGTAGTGCCATGCCATAAGCAACAGCTCCCTCCAATCAATTTCCAATCAAACTCCATCCCAACAAACGAATGTTCACAATTATATTGCAACATCCACGATGTTCTCCTAAGCACGGCTATTATATATGTTCGCCATTTGGGTGAAAATTATACTGCTCGTACACTGATCGACTCGGCTGTTGCAGCCCTGCCTCGCAAGCTCTGCCACGCTCTCCTTCCAAGTCTCGTATTCAAATTGAGGCATCAGCCTACGTCCTACCACATTTAGCAGGGAATCTACCATCATGTTCGATCTCCCAAAGTTGATCGACAGCCCTGTCTAAACTCTAGTCATTCTCGACTCGAATATCTGTCTCTCAAGAACAGCAATTAGACATCATTTTCACAAAATTTTGGGAGGTGGGGGACATTCCAGTCAAAAACTGGTAAGGAGCTCCGACTCTTTCTGTCAGAGTTTTTCACCCGAACAACAACAAAGAACGAGAATGGCAGATATGAAGTCACCCTACCTTTCCGGGAACCTAATCGCATAGACTTAGGACATTTAAGATCTATCGCACTAGCTCAGTTTCTAAACAATAAATCGAAGAGGCCAGCGTCGCCAAAACGCTAGGCATTCGATAGCAAGCCACAACAGACCATTTTTGGAGCCTCATCTTTGGCAATTGCCCTCTACGTCTGTTCACCTACGACTTTCTTGTCCCTTCCTAGCAACTTGGAGGTATCTCCAATGTTGTCTTTATCGCTTTCTCCAAGCGACTGTCCAATTACCCCTGTTTCATTCCCTGAACTAGTCCCAGTAGAGCCCGTACCTGATCCCGTCCCAGTTAATCACACTGCCTCAGCCCCGTCAGCTCCTGGCCCCAAAGGTAGACCTGCGCGCAATCTTGCCCAGATTGTTAAAAACAATCATTGTGCCTCGATAGCTCCTCCAACTCCTGTATTACCTACAGCCCCATCAGCGCCTACTTTAACGGTAGTTGCCCCTCGTAGGCGAGTTTTTGTGTCTCGACTATCGTCGGACACCACTTCTGAGTCATTGGCAGCCTATATTGCTAGCAAATCTTCTGCTAGCGTGTCAATAACCAAATTTAATTTCTCCACCCCTCGTGAAATATCATCATTCAAAATAAATGTTTCTCATGATATGTTCCCAATCATTTGTGATCCCAAATTTTGGCCACCACACATGATTGTTCAAGCCTAAAAAGTGTAACCAGCCTGTCACCCTTCCAGTCCCTTCAATATAGGGTACCATTTCTGGCCCAAAAAACTAGCTTCATCTTCTGACCAAATCTTTGTTCATTATCAGAATGTCAGAGGTCTCATTTCAAAGCTTAAAAATCTTTTCATGGCCAGCACTTCCTTCGATTCGGATATAATAGCATTTTCAGAAATATGGTTAAGCTTAACCATATCTGATTTTGAGACTTTACCGAATAACTTTATTTTGTTTAGAAATGATCGGCCGACTCGAGGTCGTGGGGTGTTAATTGCCGTTAAAGCCACTCTCCACTCTGAACTATTCTGTTTTAGTACGCCTACTGACGCTGAGATTGTCTCAGTTAAGGTGTCTTTTCCTACACGGAATATCTATGTAACATGCTCTTATGTCCCACCTTCTTCTGATATTCAAGTTTATATGAATCATATTTCTTGTATTAAAGAAGTTTCTTCACACGTGCGTGATAATGACCTATTAATGGTGTTGGGTGATTTTAATTTGCCGAACATCTATTGGTCATTATTCACTGCTGAAAATTAGCTAGTGCTCTCAGCACAGCACGATTTTATAGACTGCATGCTTGATCTTTCGTTGTTTCAAATCAATTCAATTTCTAATCATATGAATAGCACACTTGACCTTGTATTTGTTAACGACTACCTTATTTCTAATGTGTCTAGGTCCCCTCCTTTATCTCTTCCTGAGGATGTCTATCATCCAACTTTAGAGATTGCAATGCTAAATTGTAATCCTTTCATTTCGTGCTCATCAGCCAATAAGCCCCGCTATTGCTTTCGCAAAGCAAATTATTCTTTGCTGAATCAGCTTATTTATTCAACCGATTGGTATTTCTTATATGACTCAGTTGATATGAATACAGCCATTAATTTTTTTTATATCACCCTAAACTCCCACTTAGATGTGTGTATTCCTAAGTCAATTCCTTCGACTACTTTTTCAAAACCACCCTGGTTTACTCCCAGATTATCACATCTAAAAAATGTAAAATCCAAATATTTTAAAAAGTTTAAAAAGTCTGGTTCGTGTACAGACTTGGCTAAATATTCCATAGCCAAGTCGAACTTCTTTCTTCTTAATTCTCAATGCTATGAGAAATATCTAATTCGTTGTAATAGGCAATTCGCCCGAAATCCGAGACAGTTTTATAATTTTGTAAACTTGAAGCGTAAGTCTTCAAGTTTGCCATCGTCTTTTTTTCTTGGGATGGATAAAGTTAGCAATGACACTGATTCTGCTAACCTCTTTGCTAATTTTTTCCAATCAACTTACTCTTCAGTCTGTCCTAATACTAATTCTAACCCTTATACTATTTCTTCCGCTAGTTCTATACCTCCCCCCATTATTTCACACTCCTCGCTCCTACTTGCTAGAAACTCTTCAAAATCTTCTTACTCTCCTGAGCCGGACAATATTCCTAGTTGTCTACTCAAGGAGTGTAGTTCTTCCCTTTTTTATCCATTGCTAAAGCTTTTTAATCAATCCCTTGAAACTTCTGTCTATCCATCTCTTTGGAAAGAATGTTATATCATTCCTCTTTACAAGAAAGGTGGGAAGTCTGATATACAAAATTACAGGGGCATTGCAAAACTGTCCGCTATTCCTAAATTATTTGAAAAAATAATCACTTCGAATTTGCAGCATTTCTGCAAATCAGTTGTTTCCTCTGTTCAACATGGATTCGTAAAGAATCGGTCAACTACGACCAATATGCTTGAGTTTACTTCCTTGGTAAATTATGCTTTCCTTTCGAAAATGCAAACTGATGTCATTTACACTGACTTCAGTAAGGCGTTTGACTCTGTGCACCATGACATTTAACTTTTTAAACTTGACCGAATAGGTTTCCCTCTGTCCCTTTTACTTTGGATTAATTCTTATTTAAAAGGTAGGACCCAAAGAGTAATACTGAGGTTGACTACCTCTAAAAGGGTTCACGTTATTTCTGGTGTTCTTCAAGGAAGTCATCTTGGACCTTTACTCTACTCTTTTTATAAATGATCTTCCCTCTGTTATATCACATGCCCGTGTACTCATGTATGCGGACGATGTCAAACTTTTTCTACCATACACTAGCCCCCTACATCATTCTCGTATACAAGACGATTTAAACGCTATGCAACTTTGGTGTTCGGCCAATCAATTGCATCTAAATTGTTCAAAGTGTATGTTTATGACATTTAATCGTACTACACCTTATCTTGTCAGTTATACAATCGACAATATCCCTTTACAACGTATACTAACAGTTAAGGATCTAGGCGTTATTTTTGATGCTAAGCTCTGTTTCAATCTTCATATAGATACCATTGTTAATAAGGCAAAAGGTGTACTTGGATTCATTAAACGATGGTCTAAAGAGCTTAACGATCCTTTTATAACTAAACTTCTGTACATCTCTCTTGTTCGCCCTATCCTTGAATACTGCTCTTGCATCTGGTCTCCACAGTATATCAACAGCCAGGATCGTATTGAATCTGTTCAGAAGCAATTTCTGCTTTTTGCCTTACGAGGTTTAAATTGGGACCCTAATCTTCAGCTGCCGTCCTGCTCCAGCAGACTGCTTCTTCTCAACCTTCCGTCGTTAACCAACCGTAGGACAATTCTCGGTGTTGTCCTTCTACATAAGTTGATTATTGGCGACATAGATTCTCCTTTTCTGCTAGGGCGTCTTCAATTCTCTGCTCCGGCTAGACCAACCAGAATTTATCGCCCCTTATTACTATCTACGTGCACAACAGATTACGCTATGCACAATTCTTTTTGTTTGCATCACGTTTTCTCTACCGAACTGTCTCTACCCCTAATAAAACTTTGCTTTCAGGATACCTTCGGAAAGTCGCTGACCATTCCCATCTATGAGCAGGGGCATAGCTTGCCGGACAGGCTGAAAATTTTCCCCCACCGGGTCGGTGAGTTCCCATTACTTTTCTCTTTGTCCTATCTACTTAACACTCTTTATCTAACTTACCCTGCTTACCTTTATTAACAATCTTCTGACTTTCTTTTTTCCTATTTATTGTATTTTCTTTATTAATATAGCAAATTAAGATTATTTTTAATTTTACTTGAGATCACTATTTTCCTACTTACAACCTTCTGCTTAGATGTAGGCTCTAATAGCGTCACTGACAAAATTAGCTGTGAAAAGGGGCACAGCTGGCCGGACTGGCAAATAAAACACCTCCATCGGTCGGTGATGCTATTTAGAAAATTGTATCCTTTAACTAGGCTTTTAGCATATAATTCTATTGTACAATCTTTTGAAAAATGAGGAAGACACTCGTTTGTCGACCATTAATAAATAAAATAAATAAAATAAATAAATAAATAAATAAAATAAATAAGTACGCGTATTATGCTAGATTTTTTATTTAACCAGCGCTGAAAAATGCATCCCACTCATGTACACAATAACTTACGCATAAGTGAGATAGCGGAAGTCCTGTGTCTGATAATCAGTTGTGCTCAAGGCCTTGCTTCTTAAGCATCTTGATGAGTGACGGTGCCTCCTGTCAAATTCAAAACTTTCTGCTTTCAGGGAGATTCGTAACTTGAATCTATTTCTAGACCGAAAAGGTATTAAAGGGCCTGGGGTCGACTTGAAGCATCCGAATCCCTGAACAATGATGAAAGGCACCTATCCTTGTACGTACTTTTTATAATATAATGAAATAATAGAAAGTGTAAACAAACTTATCAGAGGCAAAAAACTTAAAGTGTATCAATTTCTATGCTGCAAGATCGCCACAGTATCCTCTTCTACCCCCTTCACCTAATGGCGATGTTGCTTCTGAGTTGGTTGTCGTTGATTGTTGTGTTTCCATGAAAGCAGGTTTGAGGCGATCAACTGATACTTTGGTATCGTGACCATTGATAAGTATGTTGAAAAATTTTGTTTGTTTTGATTTTACTTCAAATGGTCCGTCGCAGGGCGTCTGAAGCGATCCACGTACCGTGAGTCGCGGTTGAAAGTTTGAATTGGTCTTATTTCGCTCATCATCTCTGATCCTTTGAAAAATCAGAGTGTGGTTGAAGGAAGGCGAAGAGTGCTACCGTAAGCAAGCTGTGCTGCTGTTGTTTGGATGTCGGGCTTTTATGATGAGCGTAGGCCAAGGAGACTAATTAGCAATTTCGATGTGACTGCAAAATGAATGGTCGCACAGTGGAAGTAGAAAAATCGCATAAGATTGGAGTACTTGATTGCGGTAAGTTGATAGATTTGATATAAGGGAAGGTGTGTCGTCATTAAGTACCGTTTTTAGCTTTGGACAACTTGCAAACTTTATGTTAGACTTTAATTTAAGCTACTGTCGATATATATATTAGCATGTAAGTTATCGCCCAATTGAATTGCGATCTCTAGCGACTCTCTCTTATGATGAAATAGCTGAAAACACGACTTGTGAAATTACCCAAATTAAATAAACGTGAATTAAGAACACAGAAGTGGTGTCAAAAGTGGTCAAAATGAGCATTATCAACGACCAACTAAGAGACGTCATCAGCAGTGCAACAAGTGGGTCAAAATGTAAATGGGACAGCAATCTCTAGAAAAGTACCGCAGTTTGCAATGCCAAACTTCAAGGGCGAAAGACTGTACAGTGCAAGACTACTTTCAACGATTTGAATGGGCACAGCCTTCGAATGGCGATGATACAGATTCGGACTCTTCATGCAAACTGGGCTTCTCGTCAATCTGGAGGATGCCGTCAAGCGGAGTGAAGCAAGGAAACAAATGCTTCGGATGTGGAGGGCAACAATTACGCAAGGATTGCAAATTCAAAGTGTGAAATGCTACGTGTGTGGTAAAGTAGGGCATATAAGTAAGGTATATAAAGCCAATATGAAACACATATCCGAGTCAACTGATTCAGACGCCCAGAAGAAATACAATTTATTCAACAACCGAATACCGACGCCACCAAGTCAGTAGGTAGGAAGATCATAACAATGAAGATTGATGGAATAAAAATTCGAATGGAACTGGATACAGGTTCTCCGCGCAGCATAATGTATAAAAAGACCCTTCGGAAAATTAAAGTAAACTGACCGCAAAATTTCGAGGTATACAGGGCATAAGATCAACTGCTGTGGACGGGCAGTTGTAAACTTAACTTATGGAAAGACTACGCGTAAGCTATATCTGTATGTAGTAGAAGGAAACCTGGACACATTGTGTGGGCGAGAATGGATCTCCCAATTTGCAAAACAAATTGAGTTTACTGGGATCTTTACAAACAATTCTGTCAACACAAACGACATAGATCTGAAAATGTTCTCGACGAAAGGAAGCGCGGTGAAAACAACAGCAGTACAAGCGACGGGACTGACTACGACTAAGGGGACACAACTAGAGCAAATACTAACAAAATTTGATGCGATATATTAAGATGCGCGTAAAACCTGACGCGAAACCAATTTTTGTTCGCCCAAGAGATGTACCATTCGAGATCGACGCAAAAATTGCTGCAGGCTTCTACAAACGAGTTGATTACTCAGAATGGGCATCCACACACATATGGTAACGAAGAATACGGGAGGTATAGGAATCAGTGGCAACTATAAACCGACTTAAATGCTCAGAGGATCATTGATGAGCATTCGCTTCCGAAAACAGAGGATATATTCAACCAAATGAAAGAATGAACAGTATTCGCACACTTGGATATGACTGATGTATATTCACATTTGCGCATTGATGACTAATTCGCACACGTACTGACCTTGAAAACGGCAGCACTCGGACTCATTCGACCAACTCGGGAAGTGTGCGGTGCAGCGAACATACCAGCAATTAAACAGAGAACAATGGAGATCGCATTGAAAAATATTCCTAACGCACTTCTTTTTCTGTAACTTCTTTGACGATAAGCTAATATTTCCAAAAGATGTTGATGAGTGGTTAAGAACCTTAGCAGCCACATTAGAAAAATTACAGAGCCTGAAATTTAAATGGAACGAATCAAAATGTGTATTCGCGGCATCTTCGGCTGTGTTTCTGGGTCACAAGATTGACGCAGAAGGCATACATAAATCAACTAAACATATTGAGGCCATCTTAAAAGCACCGAAACCATCAACAATCGAACACGTGCAGCTGTTTCTTGGGAAAGCAGCTTACTACTCGAAAGTTCATACCAAATCTGTCAAATTTGGAAAGACGGCTGCGCAATATGTTCAAAGGACGACAATTCTACTGGCCAGAAGAGACAGAATTAGCTTACAGCAGAATCAAACAAATTCTAGTTCCACCGCAGGTGCTGATGCCTAATGACCCAACACTTCCATTAGTGCTAGCAACAGACGCCAGAAAAATAGGTATAGGCGCTGTACTATCGCATCGTTTGGAAAATGGTGGCGAACGTCCAATTGCATACGCAAGCCGTACAATGAGTCGCACAGAACAGCAATATACACAAATCGACAAGGAAGCTCTAGCAATTGTATGGTACAAAGATTGTTCAAATATTTATACTCCAGAAGTTGGACATTGGTTACCGATAACAAACCAGCACAAATTTTACACCCGACCAAATTACTACCGACGCTATGCATGTCTAGGATGGCAAACTATGCAGATTTTTTTGAACAACTTCAACTTCACAGTAACTATCAAAACATCAAAGGAAAGTGTACATACTGACTACTTCTCGCGATTACCACTCAACACGAGTAATGGCATCCATTCTAACACAGCAAATCGGGACAAATTCGATAATTTCATAATACGACAAATAAATCAACTTCCAGTTGCAGCGTCGCTAGTTGCTTGAGAAATTGGAAAAGCCCAGCATTTGGGCAAAATCTTGCAAATACTGGAGAGCGGCCAATGTCTTACAAGAAATGGATACAATACACCAGAGTGCAAGTATGAGATATCATCTGGCTGTATTACTTTCGAACATCGTGTGGTTATCCCGATTAAGCTTCAAAATCTGATCCTGGACGAACTACACAGGGCCCACTGGGGTATGGTAAAAATAAAGGGTATTGCACGCTCTTTTGTCTACTGGCCAGGAATCGATAATAACATCGAGAAAACGGCAAGAACATGCGAGTTCTGTGCAAAACATGCGAATCGACCTCCAAAATGCTCAGATCACTATTGGGAATACCCCAAGTCGCCATGGGAGCGCATTCACATCGACTTTGCGAGATCATTTGAAGGTACGATGCTTTTGATTGTTGCGGATGCATACTTAAAGGGGTTGGACGTTAAGATCACAAAGACAATTACGGCAACAAGAACAATCGAATTACTAGATGATTTATTTTCTATGTATGGCGTATGTCTGATATCGGGACAAATTTCACTTCGGCCGAATTCAAGCAATACCTCAAGCAATACCTCTGTTGGCGTCAAATACCACAAATTATCAGCACCCTATCACCCCGCAACGAACGGTCAAGCAGAAAGAAATGTCCAAACGGTAAAAAGGGCGCTAAAGGCAATGGGAACGACACCCAAACACACTTAAAAGAAACGCAATCGAATTCATACAGCAATAGAGAAAAGCTGCGCATAGCACAACTGGCGAAGCTCCAGCGGAACTTTTCTTGGGTCGAAAATTAAGTACACGACTGGATTTGATCAGACAAGAAACCAACAAGGAAAAGGTATCAACAAAACTATTTTTAAAATGCAAGCAATCGTGCCGTAAATTTGAGGTTAAGGATGTAGTTTACTTCATTTCTGGAAATCTGAGAGTGGATACGAGAAGAGATCGTAACATGTTTGGGTGTCACTATATCTATGAAATTGTCTATGAAATTTGACACAACAATAAATACCATAAAAGACATATAAATCAAATATGAGGAACAGGGTGGAAGGACTGAAGACAACAACAACAAAACGTAGCAGGGAACATCAGCAAAACTGATTTTCACCACCTGTTTATAACACAACTGAAAATAATAGTTAAATAAATCAAGATGTGCTTATGTCAGCATCAAAGGGATCGCCAATGTTAAGGGGCTCTTTGACACCTATTGAAACAGCAATGCGAACAAAGCAAAGTGTACGTCGCTCGACTCGACTAATTAAACCAAGAATGATATTCTCACCAATCCCTTAGAAGAGGAAGAAATGTGATGCATGACTTTAATTTAAGCTACTATCAATGTATATATTCTCAGCATGTAAGTTATCGCCCAATGAACTGCGATCTCTACCATCTCTCTCTTATAATGAAATAGCCCAAATTAAATAAACATGAATTACTCACACAAAACAAACAAAGTCTAAATCCCTCAGTGCGAAATGCGTGTACCTTTGGAAGGTTTATGCAGCATTGCAAAATCCAAAAGTCATGTGTGTTAACTCAAAAAATCCAAATGGTGTGGTTATTGCAGTCTTTGGGACGTCGCCTGATTCGATGGGGATCTGGTGATATGCACGGTTAAGATTAATTTTTGAGAATTTTTCTTGCCAAAAAAAATATGTGCACAGTCTTGTATGTGTGGAAGTGGATACCAACCCGAAACAGTTTGTGCGTTAAGGTTTTTTAGAATATAAAATATTATTTGGTACAAAAAAAAATGCTGTTAAAGACTTCATCAAAATTGGTCAAGAAAAAACTAAAGTTATGTGCTGAAATAGCTCAAAAGCAATAATTAAGAAATAATGTTTACATGCAGAGTACAGCGATAATTAACGCACGCACGGCGTAAATTCCTAAACGGCGTTCAACAGCTAATTTAATTACCTAAATACAAAATTGTTTGATTACCCGTGAAAACCCTCACGAAATATTCATTGGCGCTCGAGAGCAGGGACATCGGTTAGGATTTGTGTGATATGCAGTACTTGGCAAAAAGTGCAATATTGGTTCGGCACAAGCCCAACAACTGCATTTCAATCGTCTGGCTGGCCTTTTAAATCTGGATCTTGATATATCTTGGACTTCGGACAATATATATATATAGTTTGGAAAACCTTATAATGAGAATTCAGGTATTTGTGTGTGTAAATTGTTGCTGTAACCTACAAAAGGCAAAGAAAAATCGGTTTTTGGCATATACATGATTGATTTACATACAACTAAAAATCATATAAAATCAAGTGAACGGCTCTTAACTAATATTTAACAAGAAAGAAAGGCTATCTTCGGCACGCCGAACATCGAATACCTTTTCAGACCTAGCCTTTTCATAATGCTTAAAATGCTTTTCCCGTATAAGGGAGCATAGTGAAATCTTTAAATGCCATGCTTAGTCAAAAATCTAGAATGACATAAAACAACTTAATTTTCGACCAAT